CCCCCCCCCCCAAATAATTTTTTCTCCCTCCGCATATGCCAGAGGCCCAACTACTATAAATATACAATTGGCCATCATTCTAGGCATAAAAATGAAGGTAATAATCATGTTAGGCTTGAGTTCACTTAACTCTTAGCATTTACAGAGAGCAAACAATGTTATAAAGCAGAGCTGTCATCTGGCCTGCAGAGCTTCTAGAAGGGCAGAGAATTCAGGGGCGAGGCAAGCAGGGTACAGCCTGCCACTGAATTCTGGGTTACAGAGCCCCCACTGGGAACATGTTTTTGTGGCAATGGGACAAGTGATGGCTCTGTTAGCCCCCATGGCTCCCTGACACCATTTACCCTGCTGCTGCTAATAGATTACATGTTGGCAATTATTTCGGCTGGAGGGCCACTTAAAGAGGGAGTAAGGGGATTGGTATGGGTGTGCATGTGTGGGAAGAGGCAGGGAGGCTACCTGCATACCAGGTCCGGGGAGCTGGCTGGGGGAGGGTAAAGGTGGGGGCAGGGGGTACATGTAGCAGAGCTCACCCAGGCAGTGTGGTGCAGATACAGTCCACCCCTCTGCCCATAGCTACCCCCTTGGTGCTTTGCATGGGGCTGAACCCAGTCCGCCCGAACACAGGGCAGACTTGCACCACACTCTCACCTAACCCGACTCGAGTCAGCACGCACAGCTTCCTGGCGGAGTTGCTCCTGACGCAATTGCAAGCACCCTGGTGCTGCTCAGCTCCCCCAGCTTCTACTAGTTCCTCCTCTCCTCTTCCTGATGTGCTGCTCTGGGACACAGGCAGCATGGAGAAGCCATGGGAACGCATGCTGAGCAGCAGATGCCCAGCTGTGGGGGGATGCTGCTGCCAGACAGCTCCTGCCCCAGCACATGGAGTTCCCAGTTGCCTTCTACCCACTCCCCCTGCCTGGCACATTAAGCAGCCACCTGTGGGTGGCCAAGTAGGTGGGAGGCAGCCAGCAGCAAGGTTCCTTCTAAGCTGCGCACGCTTTAAAACCATGCCATGCCCCAACTTATTCAAGTCACGCACCCACCCAGTGAGGAGCTGGGCAACAAGCTGAGCACGGCAGAGGCACCGAGGCCAGCATGGGACACTTACCAGAGGTAAGCTCAGGCAGCAGTTCCCCCGAGGCCATGTGCTGCTGGAAGCGAGGTGGGGACAGAGGCTGGCGCCAGGGAACTGATCTGCTTCCCAGCCCCGCTCCCAGAGGTACAGCAAAGCGGGGACGGGGGCTGGCGCAGGCTCTGCTGGCACCGGAAAACTGCTCCGCTCCCCAGCCCCAGTGCCACGTGCCTCCTTGCTCCTGGAGGTGAGGCGAGGCGGGGGCTGGGAAACTGTTTTGCTCCTGCTGGCGAGGCAGGGATCGGGGGCTGGCGCCAGGGAACTGATCTGCTTCCCAGCCCCAGTGCCATGTGCCTCCTTCTTCCCAGAGGCACGGCGAGGCAGGGGCTGAGGCCGGGAAACTGCTCTGCTCCCAGCAGCGAGGCGGGGGCCAGGGCCAGCACCAGGAAACTGCTCCACTCCCAGGGACAAGGGGGGGCTGGCGCCGGGGAACTGCTCTGCCTCCCAGTCCCAGTGCCATGTGCTTCCTTGCTCCCAGAGGCATGGCAAGGTGGGGGCTGGGGCCAGGGCCAGGAAACTGCTCCACTCCCAGAGGCAATGAGGGAACAGGGGGTGAGGTTCCTGGCTTTTAGGGTCTTTGCTATTTTACACTGCCAATATATGACATACAAAGCTAGAAATGGTACAAGTTAATGATTTTAAAATAAGTTTAGGAAAATACAGCAAGTTTCTATTGAAATTCATGTGCACATTTAAATAAAGAGGAGCTGTATCCCAGTGAGGTTTGACCTCTGGTTGTTATCTTTCCACCATCAAAAACAGTCATGTTAATAAATGAAAAAGAAAAAGAAATGAATTCCAAATGAATACCCAATCCTCTACTAAAATGCATTCACTGCAGAAATAAAAGCAAATTTCAAATCAAAAGAGAGGCCAGTGTTTATGGCCAAGGTTCCTTCCAAGCTGTGTTCCTGGAGGCGAGGCGGGGACTGGCGCTAGTTTTTTTTAGCCATTTAGTGGTTTGTCTTTATTGTCACTAGTTTATGCATTTGAATTTAAAAGTACTAAAGTGCTAGCTACAGCTGTGTTGGTCTAAGGGCATATGCAGACGAGGTGCTTTGGGTAAGTTAGCTGCTTTTTCTATCATTCTAGGAAGGCCAATATCTTCCCTGCAGCAAGGATCATCTTTATATAAATTTTACAGTGTCCAAGTGTAAGTGTGAAGAGGGTGAATGCAGGGGACCAGCTAAGAAAAAGAGCTGCTCAAGATTCAATGACGACTGGTTGAAGGAGATGTTCAAAACAGACAGATTCACACACAGATTCTGCGATGAAACTAAGCAACCAAAGCAGAGGAATCCTGAAGTTTATTTTCTGAAACACATGAGACGTAGGAAAATAGGATAGAACTGTTTGAAAGGAAGCGATCCAAAGCTGATGAAGTAAAAATCTTAATTGATAATGTTCTCCTCGCAGTGAAGTTAAATTTATCGATGTTATCAGTGCAGGATATCCACAGTCATGCTGGCAAATACGTTAAAATTCCTGAAAGCTGGAGAAGTAAGACTTATGCATTTCAATTTACTGACTGCATAAATTCTGTAATTCATCAGGAAGTACTGAATGAAATGCATACATCGCCATTTCACACTTTGATAATTGACGAGAGCACAGGTCTCCATTAGCAAAATGTTAATACTGTAAGTAAAATTCTGAACTATGGATGATTTCACTCATCTGACCAGGTTTGCTGGAATTTTAAAGCTGACAGCTTGTGATAGCTCTGCTATTGTAGCAGCAATTAGGCAATTTTATGTTGACAGCAATTTAGATATGCAAAAGATGGTAATGTTTACCTCCGATGGTATTTCAGTAATGCTTGGAAAGCGCAATGGTGAGGCTGCAGTATGTAGCCAGTTTATTCCACATCTGCTCAAGCAGCACTGCGTGGCACACCGGGAAGACTTGGGGATTGATGATGCTTGGAAAGATGCACCTTTGATGGGGTGCACTGAAACTCTACTATGGACCATATACACACTTTTTAGTAGGTCTTCTATAAAAAAAAAAATCTAAGTTTGAAGAACTATCTAAGGCTGCTGAGTGTGAAACAGTTTCATTTATGACACTGAATGAGGTCAGATGGCTCTCTAGACATTTTACTGTTAGCGCCTTGATGAAGAATTATACTGTGTTGATGGACTACTGCGCACAACAAATGGCTGAAGACAACGACCCAATTCACAAATATTGCTTGGACAAACTGCAGAAACCAGAGTATCATGTTGCACTGGCCATACTAAATGATGTCTTAGGTGAACTGGCTGAGCTGTGCAGAATGCTTCAACGAAGTTCACTAACAACAGTAGAAACATTTCAGTTTGCCAAATCTAGAATTGCCACATTTTGTTTGCAGTATCTTGGCGAGACTGTATATTTTTCTGAAGACGTTCAAACCTTGCTGTCATCATTTGACTCACCTGTTGACACTACATCAGTTATTCAAATCATTGAGCATACATGCGACCACACGGACAACAGATTTCCAGAAAGCGAATTGAAAGAATGGCCAATTTTCGATAAGGATTCTTTTTCCTCTTCATCAAACAGGAATGATTTCTCTTTTGGGCACAAGGTGCTGAAAGCATTGGCAACAAGATATAGCACCTTGTTAAACAAATCTGTAGAAACTTTTAAGAAGAACCTATGCAAACAATATGTAGACTTTAAATTAACTGTTTGTGAGAAGATGAAAACTGGGGCAATAAAGACCTTTGAAGACATGGTCACCCACATACTACAACACGAACAATTTAGCGAACTGTCATTACTTGTTGCCATCTTTGCCACTTTCCAGGCATCTAGTGCAGGTTGTGAGAGAGGGTTTAGCATCATGAACACAATAAAAACAAAGTCTAAAAATTGTTTAAAAGTTGATAATCTGGACAGGCTGATGCGAATTAAACTTCATTTAGCATCAAGAAAGACTGTTAACCTGGACACTGTATTTTCTGTTTGAAAAACAGAAAAGGGTAGATAGGAGTCACTTTGGTAAATAAAGGTTATAGTATCTTCATTTGTTACTTTACCGTGTTATACTGTGGGGCAGACCAAAGTGGCGTGTGCCAAAAGGGGGAGGTGGGACCAATTCGGGAATGGACCGAAACAGCGTGCTCACGGACCGCTACACCTTAGAGGGAACACTGGCCAGGAGCTGAAGCCCTGCATACTGAGGCAGAAGCTGTCCAGCTGTAGCTTCCCCACCCCTCCCCACCCACCTGGCTGGGTATGTGGTATCTAGCACGTTCCCACAGCCACCACTGCTTCCCCGACCGCCTGCCACCCAGAGTGGTGTAGCAGGGGCTGGAGGAGGAGCTTCTGGAAGTGGGGAGAGCTGAGCAGTACCCAGGCAGCTGCAGCCACAACCACAGCAGCCCTGAAAGGAAGTTGTGCACACTGTCTGGGGATGCGGAGGACAGGAGTGCAGTAGGAATACGGCACAGGATGCCTTGGATGGGAGAGGGTGCCAAGTGCTGCAGGCCAGACGCAGTCAACTGGTGGGTCTGATCCATGCTGTGGGCCACATTTCACTCACCCTGCAATAGATCCTGTGGGACAAATTTGGCCTGGAAATCAAAATTCACCCCCTTTGCTATAAACTCAGGAACGAACTAAAAAACTATTGCCCCAGAATCTTGAAATATCTCCCACCAGAAAACATTAAAAAGCTTAAGAAAATATAAAACAAGGCTATCTTATTTAAATTCCCCAGTTTAGGGACAGGCCTCCTTCATACAATCTTAGTTCCCTTATGAAGCAAGCAAATCAACAATGCCCTGGTCCATAAATATTAAACCCGATTAGGGGAAGTAGATTTGTTGTTCCTCTAAAAGGATCCCCCAGGTCAGGGGTGACCAAGATACGGCCCACAAAGCCACGTCATTCAGCCCACAGGGCTACTCACGGGTCTGGAAATTTGACAAAGGAGTGGTATGGCAGCATTAATTACCATACCTCCCAGAGCCATGACAATTAGCACTGTTGCAGCTCCCGTGCCAGCAATTTCTGGGCCCATGGGTAGCTCCATAACATAGTCCCACATGCTGGATCCAGCCTCTGCAGACAGGCCCTAACTCAGAGTGCCAGATGAGTTGAACACCACTGCCCTAGATCATCAAATCCACTCCCTTACTCTTACAGGCCAACATATATACATTAATGACCTCACTTCTTAAAAGTAGTGAGGCTTTCTGCTCCCACAGACTTCCAGTTTTGCTTCTGCGTGCTTCGATTGCCCCAGCCACCCACCCAACTGGCCTCTGAAGGACACCCCCCCGGGGGCCCATTTGTTGACCAGTGCTCTAGATCAGTGGTTCTCAACCTTTTTTGTACCAGCACCCATTTGTCAACATCAATGGCCAGTCCCAACCCAGTGCCCCTCACTCCTGACCCACTGCCCCATCCCTGCAGTGTGGGGGTCAGGGGATGGGTGTGTGGGACAAGGGGGGTGGGGCCCAAGCAGCCCCTGGCAAGCTGGAGTTCTGCCAGCCTGCAAGAGAAAAGCCAGTTTGCTGTGTTTTTCTCTTTTAAAGAAGAATCCATTTTAAAAGTTTGCTGAACCACTGTTCCAAGTTTGTTTGCAACCCTTTTGTATATTCTTGAGATCCACTTTTGGGTTGCGACCCAGGTTAGAAACGCTGCTCTAGATACAGGTAGATATAGATGCCTATCTGGAGAGAGGTGCGTGCAAATGTGTGTGTGTTTTGCAAGCGTGTATGTGCATTTTGTGAACCCCAGCTCCCTTTGACAGATGCTGTGAGAGGATGCTCACGAGGCAGAGTGTAAGAAGAGAAAGGAAAAGCTTTTGCATTCCAGTTTCTTTCCCCCGAGACTCTGCCTTCTGCACATCCTCTCCCAGCATCCGATGAAGGGAGCTGGGGCTCAAACAAGCTTATGCTACAATTTTGTTTTTCTTATTAAAGTGCCAAAAATGTACATCTCAACAAAGAAACCACACCGATTTCACACTTAAAACATCAGCAAAAATCATCACACTGACAGGGATACTTAGACATGCATCAAAAAAAGACTTGACACACACAACACGCTCCCTCCTGTGTCTCTCTTCAAAGGTGCTCCTCTACCCACCTCCTCACTGACTTCAGACTCGGGCAGGGTCTCTCCTCGCACAATGCCCGCCACATCGCGGAGTTCTAGAGCTCGCGGCGCGGCACGTGCGGGCAGCCGCGCGCCCGCCCCCATCCCGCGCATGCGCGTCAGGGGCAACCCAGCCAAAGCAAGGCGACAGTAGCATGGGGCTGGGCTCAGGCGGCGCGAGGGGTCCCGTGCAGCTAGTGGGGTAGGGCACTCACCGCGCTGACAGGGAGCCGCTCCTCCTGGCCGCCGGGGAGAAGAGCGCGGGAGAGCCAACCGGCGTCCCCAGGGCCAGGTTTCTCCTGCCGCCCGGCCGGGATACGGAGCCCCCAGCGGCCCCCAGGGCCCGGCGGGCCGAGCCGCCCGGCGTGCGCGGAGAGGCAGGGGCAGCAGCGAACATGGTGGGCAGAGGGGGCAGTTAGGGCTCCTGAACCACTGAGTTCAGTCCGGTGGGTT